TTGCTATTGCCTCACAGAGTTGCCAGCTAACATTGGAACATTAATCAATTTGCGTCATCTCAATAATACCGAAACTAAGTTATCTTGCCACCACTTGGGCAACTACCTTCTCAAAGAGCTCCATATCAGAGGAATGAAGAGTGTGGTTGCTGTTGGCCCTGAGTTTTATGGAAACTTTTCTTTCGAAATTCAGTCATTTCAATGTCTCGAAATTTTGTGGTTTTTGGACATGGAACAATGGCAGGAGTGGTTCTTTCCTGATGGAGAACATGGTAATGGTGTTTTCCTTCGTCTACGGGAGCTTTATATAATGCGTTGTGACAACCTCGAAGGAGATATTCCTTTCTATCTTCCATTATTGGAAAAACTTGTGATTGATGAATGCCTGAAGTTTGGGTCTTCACTTCAAACCACTCCAGCTATGTGTGAATTTCAAATCAACTGCTGCTACAAATTCCTTACAGATTTGACAATAAGTTGGAGTTTGAAGTCATTTCCATTTGACTTGTTTCCAAACCTTAGATATCTTGTACTCAGCAGTTGTAGGAAGCTGGAATCTTTTAACATTTTCGAAGAGTAGCAGTTTCCGTGAACTTAAATCACTAACATATATAAAAATAGAAGAGGGCCGCAATTTTGTTTCTTTTCCCGCTGGGGGATTCCCTGCTCCCAACCTGAAACATCTTATTCTCAAAAACTGCTGTAAATTGAAGTCACTGCCTGAAAGAATGCACAGCCTACTTCTATCTCTTGGGGAATTGGAGATATCGAATTATCCGGATATTGAGGGTCTGGAGTCCTTCCCAGATGAAGGACTGTTGCCCTTGTTGGAGGCAAAAGCTTGCTGTTTTTGTGTCTGTAATTACAAAAAACAGAGAAGGGAAAATGCAGAAATTTAAATCTGAATGTGTGGGTATGCATTGAGAAAAGAGAGAGCAACAAAATGCAGAGGAAATGCAGAAGAGAATACAGCAGAGTGAGGACAGTTTCTGGAAAATGTGAACTCTATATTTTGTACTTCATTAGTCTTACATATATATATATATATATACCATTTTTAAGAGAATATATTTTGCTGCAGAAATTATAAGCTTTCAGTAAAAAAATCAAATGAAAGACATCACGTAAAATTCTAAAATTTAAAAGAAAATAATATTATAAATTAAGTATAAAAGAATTTAGAGTTTATATTCTTTAAATAATAATTTACACTGTCCAATAAAATTACGAGAATGTTTCTTTTAAAAAAATAAACGAAAATTAAAAAAATAAACAAAAAAATAAATAACTAAATATTTTAGAACGACATTCCCTAATTTTTGAAGGGAGTCCGAATAGTGGAGACTTATTCATCACCCTCTTCTTGGTCGAAATCTGAATTTTGGTTCTCTTGATCTGAAATAATTATTGAAATAGTGAGCTACATTATCCCAATAAGAATATCACACTACTCACCGATACAGAAACAGAAAGTTGGTAAAAATCATAAAAACAACCAATGAAATTCTTGATTTAAGTAAATTCATTTATCATAAGAAAAACTATTTATTATATATATTTACTATTGCGAGATTTCTAAAATCGATTTATAGAGATACAATAACTCAAATAATATTCTAATTTCCTTTTCAAGTGAATAATAGCAACTACTTTCCATTTTTATTTGCCTACTAGTATCCCTAGGGGCTCATAAGGATGTCTCATTACGCGTGAATCAATATCTAATATTGTCAACTAATCGGCCGTTCCCATATCTCGTCCAGTATGAGCGCCAAAAATATTGTTTATCAATACCTCGTCTAGTATGAAGGTGAATCGGATCGCTCTCATACTCTGTCTAGTATGAGCGCCAAAAATATCATTCCTCAATACCCCGTCCGGTATGAGACAACGTTCACGATAGGATTTCCTATGTACCCGATCCGTCCACCATCTCACATGATATCTATTAAGGCTATCATTCATTAATTCACATGACCAAACAATTTTCCATTTGCATATTAATTTTTAATTTCATAATCAACTGTGAATCACGCAAGACAAGCAATATATATATCAAGGAAGTACAATTGAATCATTTAACCATTCTAGTATATCATCATGTATTTAAAGCTGTAAATTCAACAATCAGTTAAACATGACAATAAATAAATGATTAACCAGTTTCCAGCTTTATTGATAACCTGTAATTATTCTTAAAGTTTTCTAAATTATACAAAATACCATATTACCGATTATTAAACTTCAATTCCATAACAGAGAATAAGATAAGGAATTCTTACCCGAATAAGTGTCCGAAATACCAAACTTTCTACTGCGCTTACTAGCGGTCCCCAGTTTCCTGAATTTTCCTACGGAGATTAAAACACGCTTCACGTACCTAAAAATACCTCTAAAAAATAAAATATCGATATTAAAAACCTTTTTCCAGCCAATTTTAGAATTTCAACACGGTGGCTGTTTGCCTCGGCCTGGCCGTTTTTGGCCAGTTTTTGCCGATTTTGGCTGGTTTTATACTCTTTCCTATGAAAAAACACGTTATAAGGCCTCAATTGCCCAAAAAAATTAAAAAAACGGAAGCCTACCGATAGTAAAATTTTTCGATGCGGCAGCTTCACCGTCTCACCTCCGCGGCTGGGCCTTTTTCTTTGGTCAACCTATATAAAATAGAACGATAAACACAACGATAAAAAAATCGCACGAAACGAAAAATGGGAAGGGGCTCATCGGAGGAGGTTGTGGGTTTTGCTCGCGGCGGCGTTGCCAGATTTTGCTCTTGATTTTCGGCTCACCTGCTGTTTCTTTTGCTCCGATTTGGCCATGGAGGTTTCGGAATCAAATTCCAGGTGAATAGGAGAATTTTTATCTTTTTTGGTAGTTGAAAGTGGCTCCGGCGCGGCAGTGGGCGGTGGTCAGCTCCCTTCTCTTGCAACTGGTTCTTCTTCTCCGGTGGGAGGCTGACGGCTAGAGTTCTGGTTCGGTGTGATGCGAAATATTTATATCCATCTCACGTTAATCTGAACCGTTCATTATGTTTGATCTCGACTATATGATCGCATTTAAAGAGAAAATGAATTTAAACCGTTCATCGTGACTTGATCTTGAGCGTCCGATCGCGTTTAAAAAAGGAACAAATCTAGACCATTCATCGCATTTATTCGTGACCGTCTGATCGTGTTTGAGGAATGAATGAATCCAGACTGCCCGCGCGTACAGGAACGCTTCTAGGCCATCCGATTGCGGGGCACGCAGATCGCTAATGTAGCCGCTCGTGTGGCACCGAGTCAGCCTTACCACGCGGTGCACTCCGGTTCGCCGAGACTGCTGACTGGGTGGTCTTACGTGGCGCAATTTTTCTTAATTGGGTTCTGACTTCCAGTTTTCGATTTTTCTTTCAAAAATACCTTCCGAACCTAAATTTTCACCTATTTTTCCCAAAATTATTTTTAATTTCATCTTCAACTTATTTTTTCCATAATTTCACATTAAATTAAAATTTATTAATTTCAAAAATAGATTTTTATACATTTTTTTATGTTGAAATTAATCTCGTACTAAATTTCAGGTTCGGGTATTACACATCATTTTGGTTAACCAAAACAAGCAAGAGTTGTTGATTTTCTTACTTTAAAATATGTTTCACCATTCCTTTCAACTACCACTTACTAATTAAAGTAGAATATAGAAAAAATAATCATAATTTTCTAACTTCAGCAATCATTGTTCAAGAAAAACTCAACTACTAACGCTACTCCTTGAGTTTTCTTTTCAACAGTCCAAGCTTGGTTCTCAAGTCTTAAGCCGTTCCCTTGGCAAAGCTTTAATTAGGATGTCAGCAAGTTTTTCATCATCAATTGTTTAAGCTTATGGCCATGCATTGCCTTCTTCAACTTGTATACCATGTAATCTTTCCATCAACTAGAAACTCTTAAGATTATTCAATGAAAATCTCTTCCTCCATAGCAAGCTGCCACTCTTTATACGTCATAGGTTCTTCATAGTTTGTTGGTTCAATGATCGCCAAATTGCATAGTTTATAATCCTTTATTAATAACTTAGTCTTTGTGTCTGGTGTTTCAAATACTCAGTTTTATTTTGTTTTGTAACCAAAAAAATTAAAATGATTAGTCTAAAAAATAGTCCAAAAAAATAATTTTAGCAAATTAATTAAATTAAAAGATTAATAAATTAATCAAAAAATTATAACTAAAAAAACATCACACATCAAATTTTAAAGACTAATCTAATAATTCATTTTAAAAGTAATTAAAGATATAAAGATCCTTTTTTTCTATAACTAGATAGATAATCATGTTGTATTATATACTATTGCTATTTCTTATGTTTTTTTCTGTTTAATGTTTTAATTTTACTATTAAATTTTTAAGATAAGTTATGTCAAAAAAAAAATTAGTAAATATTAATAACAATATATTTGAGTTACATTTTTTATAAAATAAAATTATTATATAAATTAAAGTGTAATTAATTACAAAATTTTATTCAGTTTACTTTAAGTATCTCATAGTTAAACATATTAAAAAAAATGTATATAGTAATATTATAAATTCAAATACACATTCTTATATATAATTATATTAATTGTAAAAATTTATCCTAATTATTATAAAAAAATCTTATAATTAAATATATAATACACAATATATATACATTTATGTCCATAATTTTAATATATCTTATATAAATTAATATTTTTATTATTATTAAACATCTTACAATTGACAATACGTACCAAAAATTTATTTGTATTCATTAAATTATATTAAATAAAAAATATTTTAATTAATTTTTACGCATATATTAGGTATGTATTAAATTAATTATAAAATAATTAATATTTTTCATAATTTTGTTTGATGCGGACAGGATTTATATAATAAGTCAAGAGTTGAAATATTCAGGATTTATGAAATAATTAATAATTTTTATAATTTTATAGTAAGTTTAAGAGTTGAACGTGGCGAGAGAGTAAATGGATATATCAATCCCTTGCAGATTCAGCTGTTTGAATACTTTCGATCTTCTCAATACTTTTCTTCATCACAACAATGGCTGCATCCATGGTTGGTGGAGCTTTCCTCTCAGCTTTCCTCCAGGTTCTGTTTGATCGGATGGCTTCCCGTGAGATTTTAGACTTCTTTTGCTTCAGAAAACTCAACACTGATTTGCTCAAGAAGTTGAAGCTCACTCTGCTTTCCATTAAACCCGTGCTCGATGATGCTGAAGAGAAGCAGATAACAGATCCAGCAGTCAAAGAATGGCTTGACGAACTCAAAGATGCAGTCTACATTGCAGAGGACCTTGTGGATGAAATCGCCTATGAATCTTCACGGTGCTTGTTGGAAGGTCAAGATAAAGCAGAGTCAAGCCAGGTACGGAGTTCTCTTGCATTTATTCCAAGTTCAATTGACAAGGAGATAGAATCACGTTTAGCAGACACAGTTGACACACTAGAATATATTGCTAACCAGAAGGATCTACTCCGTTTGAGAGAAGGTGTTGGTCGAAACCTAATTACAAGTTTTCAAACGACTTCTCTGATTGATGATTCTTATGTATTTGGTAGACGTGAGGAGAAGGAGGAAATCATTAACTCGTTGCTCTCTGATGATGCAAGCGATAGCAATATAGGTGTGGTTGCTGTCATGGGCATGGGTGGTGTTGGCAAGACCACCCTGGCTCAGCTGGCATATAATGATTCTGCAGTGGATAATTTTTTTGACATCAAATCCTGGGTGTGTGTTTCACAACAATTTGATATTTTTAGGATTACTAAAACACTGCTTGAGAAAATTTCTTCAGAGAATTGGTATACCAACGATCTTGATCAGCTTCAAACTGAACTGAAGAAGAATTTGACAGGGAAGAAATTTCTGATTGTTCTTGATGATGTTTGGAATTAGAATTATGTTAACTGGGAGTTCTTAAAGAAACCTTTCTCATCTGGAGCTCGAGGAAGTAAGATCATTGTGACAACACGAAATGAAGGTGTTGCATCCATGATGAAAACTATTCCAACTCACCATCTAGAACAACTATCAGACAGTGATTCATGGCTGTTGTTTGTGAAACATGCCTTTGACAACAGAAATTCACAAGCATATCCAAATCTTGAAGCAGTTGGCAGGAAAATTGTCAAGAAGTGCAAAGGCTTGCCTCTAGCTGTGAAGACATTAGGTGGTCTACTGCGTTCCAAGCAAAGTCTCGAGGAATGGAATGAGATTTTTGAAAGCAATATCTGGGATTTTCCAGATGATATAAGCAACATTCTTCCAGCTCTTAGACTGAGCTATCTTTTTCTCTCATCGAATCTAAAGCAGTGTTTTGCTTACTGTGCAATATTCCCCAAGGGCTACGAGTTCAAGGAGGAGGAATTAATATTAATGTGGATGGCAGAAGATCTTTTACATCGGCCTATAGGAAAGAAGAAGATGGAAGATATAGGGGATGAGTACTTCAATCATCTGACATCGAGGTCCTTTTTTCAAAAATCAACTCGAGATAAATCTCGATTCATTATGCATGACCTTATTCATGATTTAGCCAAATCTGTGTCAGGGGAATTCAGTCAGAGTTGTGAGTGTGAACCCTCACATAAAGTTGGCAGGAAGACTAGATATAAGTCTTTTTCGAGGGAATATCATGATAATGATAAGTTAGAGAAATTTGAGACATTTTACGAAGCCAAGTACTTACGCACCCTCCTTCCATTTCCTTCACGGTTGTCTTATGGCAGTTCTATTGAGGTACCAAATGAATTGTCGCAGAAACTTCGGTACCTACGTGTTCTCTCTCTGTCTGGTTTTCACATCAAAAAGTTGCCTGATTCAGTTGGAAACCTGAAACATCTACGATATTTTGACCTCTCCGGCGCTCTAATTAAAAGTCTTCCCAACACAGTCTGTACTTTGTTCAACTTGCAGACATTACTATTGTTAAATTGCGAACGCCTCGTAGAATTGCCAGCTAACATGGGAAGATTAATCAATTTGCGTCATCTCTATATTAGCAAAACTAAGTTGAAAAAGATTCCTCTAGAAATGAATAAACTGAAAAATCTCCGAACATTAACTAATTTTGTTTTGGGATATGATGGTGGCTGTGGGATGGGGTACCTAGGAGATCTTCAGGATCTCCATGGAGAACTTACAATTTCTGGGTTGCAGAACATTGTCCATGTGCAGGATGCATCAGTGGCCAAGTTAAAAGATAAGAGATACATTAAGAAGCTCTCTCTGGAATGGAGTGGTTGTACCAGCGATTCACAAATTGCTAGAGAGGTTCTGGACAAGCTTCAACCTCACGGAAATCTGCAAGAACTTGTCCTTGCAGGGTATGGGGGTACGAGATTTCCAGATTGGCTGGGACCTCAGTCATTACCTAATTTAGTATCTCTTTCTCTGTTCAACTGTGATTTTTGTGTTACCTTGCCACCACTTGGGGAACTACTTTACCTCAAAGAGCTCAGTATCGAAGGAATGAAGAGTGTGGTTGCTGTTGGCCCCGAGTTTCATGGAAATTGTTCTTTCGGAATTCAGTCATTTCAATGCCTAGAAATTTTGAAGTTTTCAAGGATGAAAGGATGGCAGGATTGGTTCTTTCCTGATGGAGAACATGGTAAGGGTGTTTTCCTTCGTCTACGGGAGCTTCATATAATGCGTTGTGACAACCTCGAAGGAGATATTCCTTTCTATCTTCCATTATTGGAAAAACTTGAGATTGTTGAATGTCCGAAGTTTGGGCTTTCCCTTCTAACCACTCTAGCTACGTGTGAATTTGAAATATTCCAGCATGAGAAACTTCAGCGCCCAATCAATTGCTGCTACGAATTCCTTACAAATTTGATAATAAATTGGAGTTTGAAGTCATTTCCATTTGACTTGTTTCCAAACCTTGGGTGTCTTGTACTCCGCAGTTGTAAAAAGCTTGAATCCTTGACGTTTTCGAAGAGCGGCAGTTTCCGCGAACTTAAATCGCTGACACATATAGAAGTAAACGAGTGCCCCAATTTTGTTTCTTTTCCCGCTGGGGAATTGCCTGCTCCCAACCTGAAAAATCTTACTCTCATCAACTGCAATAAATTGAAGTCATTGCCCGAAAGAATGCACAGCCTACTTCCATGTCTTTCGGTTTTGTGGATATGGAATTGTCCGGATATTTATTCATTTCCAGAAGGAGGCCTTCCCGTCAGTTTGTTTCACATGAGGATAAATAAGTGTGACAAACTTTTTGAGCAGCGAATGAAGTGGGGTTTGCAAAGGCTCACCCATCTCCAGTTCTTGTCAATCGGTTCTGAAATTGAGGATCTGGAGTCCTTTCCAGATGAAGGACTGCTACCCTCCTGTCTAGAATGTCTCATTATCTGCAAATTTCCAAAACTGAGGAAACTGGATGGCTTGGTGCTCAGGAAGCTCTCATCTCTTGTACTATTGCATATCGAGTGTTGCCCTGACATTCAACGGTTGCCTGAAGAGGGGCTACCTACCTCTCTTCAATATTTACTTATAGAGTCTTGCCCCATTTTAGCAAAACTGTGCCAAAGAGAGGATGGTGAAGACTGGCAAAAGATTGCTCACTTACCTGAACTAGATATTATTCGTTAATATTTTTGTGTGATTATATATTTCTTTATGTTCAACATGTATTTACAGAGTAGCTTTTTAAGTCACAAAGCATTTGACACATTCGATTAAATAAACTATTGGGTGTGATATTATTTTGATTTTCATGTGACATGGTTGGAAAATTAGTAAAATAAGATTCGAGAGTAAAGTAAGTAATTTAAGCTTTTTTCAATTGCTGTACTTTAAATTATTTATAGCAATGAAGTAAATAAGTGATTTTTGAAAGCAACATCTGGAATTTGGCTGATGAAATGAGCAACATTCTTCCAGATCTTAGATTGAGTTATATTTTTCTCTCATCAAATTTAAATCTCCCAAGTATTCTCAAGAATAATTCACTTGCTCCAAATATATTTTGTCAAATAATGAATAAAAAAACCAAATTAACAGCTGCTATTTAATCTCTGCTTACAACAAGTAAATGATGATGTTTATTCAAGTAAATAGAATTACTCAAATTCTCATTTACAAAGTCAAGATGTCTACAAATAATTTCCAGCATAATGTAAATTGCTATACCTGTAAGTTGTTTTCTTGAAGTAATTTCCCTCATCCATCTTGTACGACAATTTGCGAAGTCGAACGAGGATCAACAAATACCTCACTATAACTTTTGTATTTCTTTCTTTACTCAAAAAAGAAAAATTTTCTGGTTCTTTTGACTGAACGCATTCCCAAGAGATGAACAAGCATTTTTGCGATTGATCATACTGGAAACTAGAAACACTTCCCATCCTGTTAATTCAAATCGGAAAAGGGATCACTTGCAACTTCAACGATATTATCACAATTTGGTTTTCCAGACTGATGGGCAATCAATGATAATAACTGAACCCACTATAAGCTTGCCATTATGCAGTTTCCGGATACTCTCCTGAACATAATAAGCTGTTGTTGTTGTTGTTGTTGATTCAAATTGATTAGCTCATGTTCTTCAACCATGACTTTTTTGCGTCATGCCCACCGTAATTAAACCTGTAGAACCATAAAAATTTAGCAAATTTCACCAGGAAATGAGCAAGATTTTTACTAGTTTCTAAATCGACAAACAAGCAACAAGTTCCATGAATTCTTACTTTATTGCCACAACACAAGGGAGTTTATCTTAAGAGGCATTTTTAACTGTCCGTCTCTAAGGGTATAGTCGGGCATCTTCAACTGCCTAAGGCCTGCAGCCACACTCAGAGCATTCTAACACTGTCGTCACCAATAACTGAAGATGGCAAGGATGAAGGATTCTTGAGAAACTTCTAGGACCTTAACTTCAGGGCCTCAGGGCTGCTCAAAAATCCAAGCAGCTACATGCTGAACCAAAAAAAAAAAAAAAAAAAATCCCATTATCACAACACATAGTAAATCAAATCTTTAACAACATTCTGAAAGAAAAATCCTTAAAATACCTCTAATAAATATAAAAGCGTCTAAATATTCCACCATCTTGGAACCAGTTGTCCAATCAATCATTTCCTTGGCAGGCATAATGAGCCACCTGAAATAGAGATCTATATATAAGCATGGGAAGAAAATTCCTTGATCACAGAAGCTTTCTTCACTTTCATTTATAAAAATAAACCTCATTAAGTAGAGTATAATCAACTAAAACTAGTAAAACTACATAGAGAAAAAAAAAAATGTGTAACACTTATAACACCATTTTCCTGCGGAATTTCATGAGTGACAATTGTTTCAAAGAAGGATTCAACGAAAGGAAAAGTAAAACAAAGTAATAAGAAATACACATACCAAGAAATACACATACCTCATGAAAGAATCAGTCTATCGACCCCACAGGCAGAAAACAGGTCCCATCATGATATACAAAAACAAATGTATTGCAACAAACTACGCAGTTCTGCAGTCCATATGAATAATTTTGAACTTACTGAATGACAAACTCACTTATCACCAATCAACCACCTTTGATATAGGTAAAACGCAAGGTGGGGTTCCCTCATTTTGCAGTACTTTTTAATAAGTATCTGAAATGGAACATGATCAACCACTAAACCAGATTTCTGTATTTTTACAAGAAGCTCTTCTGCCTCCTTTGTGTTACCTTGCCCACAATGGCCTCTGATTAATTCAGTATATGTTATTATATCCGGCTCACATCCCCTTCTCACCATTTCATCATACAGCTGAAGGGCAAAATAAATATGTCCTAATTTACAAGCAGCACCTATCAACAAATTATAAGTAACCACATCTGGGAAAATTCCGCTTAAAATCATCTGTTTTTTGAGAGAATATGCATCATTAATATTTCCTCCTTTTACTTGTGCATGAATCAAAGCATTAAATGTATATACATTTGGAGCAACACCATGGGCCAACATCTTATCTCTGATTGAGGATGCATTATCAATATCTCCACACCTTGCATAACCATTTATTACAAGGTTCCATATAAGTGGCTCAGGTACGATTGACTTTTCTAACATACTAAGAAGAAAGTCATTAGCCTTAAGCACATTTCCATCAATACATAACCCTTGAATAATCATCTTGTATGTAATCTGATCAGGAGCAACCTCTGATCTTGACATAGCACTATGGATGTAACAAGCCTCATCAAATCTGCCTTCTCTGCAAAGAGTGCTTATAAGAGTATTATATGTAAAAACATCAGGAGGCAAACCTAATTTCAACATCTCGCAAAAGTACTTATAAGAAGTGTTTATTTCTCGGCTCAAACAAAATCCATGGATGAGGACATTGTATGCAACAACATCTCTTTCCGTATTCTTTTCAAGCATTTCATCCCAATGACTGAGGGCTTGAGCCGTGTTTCCAATCCTAAAAGAACCATCCATTAATATAGTTGAGGTAATCATGTCTGAGGCTGCCTTGTCACTGTCAGCACCTAGAATCTCTTCAAGAAGTTTCACGGCATCATTCAAAAGACCTCTCTTGCATAATGCATGCACAAGTATGTTACAAGTAACTCTATCCGGCTTCACACCAGAGTTAGTCATGGTTGAGAAGAGATAGAGAGCTTTATCCACATTATTCATTAGGCAATATCCCTTAATAAAAGTATTGTAAGTGGCACAGTTGGGAGAGGGTCCCATTTCTATCATCTCCCTAATAAGCCAATCTGCCTTGTCCATTTCACCAGTTTTGCATAGCTGATTTACAAGATAATTATGTGTAAGCACATCAGGGAAAACACCTTTTTGTATCATTTTTCTCCGCAGCCATAAAGCTGCTCCCAGCTTACCCTCAAAACACAAATCTTTTATCAGAGCTATGTGTCTAGTGTAATCAAGATCCAAAGTGCACTGTGTAAAGCTTATCCTCCCCAGAGATATGCTTTCCCTACAAGATAAGGCAAGTAACGGAACATGTTGTCAGTTCTGTAACTCTTGAAATCATTTATAAGATACTCAAAATACACAACATAGATTATCTAAAGCTCTTATTTGAAGGTTAATCCTAATATAACTACAAATTTATAATCTAGTCAGTACAAATCAAAAGTTTTAAAATATCAATAAACAAGATTCTTCAGACATCCCCGTACACTATAGAAATTTTATAGACTAACACTTACCTGCAAACAAATATCTAAAAGCACTTACAGAACTTCAAATCCAATAAGCAAAGTTATGCTCCATCAGACAGAAAGATATTTGGCATCCAATTTTAAACTTGCATGTGATAAGAGACTAATGTAACAACTTTTAACAAAAAAGAAAAACATTTTATTTTCTTGCACAAGCCATCAATGATGCAAATAAAACACTCCACGCAATTCTGTTTCAAATTAATCCACAAATTTTGCAAGAATCTTACCTCATTGATTTCAGACGCTCCAAACTGTCTTTTAACATTGCATCCAATATGTTGAAAACAGCTTGTGGATCTCCCTTGTTGTCAAAATCCTTTTTCGAAAACCAGTTCTCAGTTTTCAATGGACAAGAATCACCAAATAGCCCATTGTCATCCCTAGAAGATGTTTCTCAAGCATTCAGGGCAATGGATTATAAATAAAAATAGAATGCAATTAGAGACAATCTCTTTCTTCATTCTTAGGGACCCAAAATAATTGAAAGCTTAGAGCAACATTAGGGACTAACCCATTTTTTTCATAAATTTTCAACACGACAAAAATGAGCTAGTAGAATTTTCACCTTCCCTTCTAGTTAAAGTAGGTAAACTAGGTCTTAATTCTAAATGAATTCCACAAAGATTACTGGTTGTTCCGAACATCTAAGTATGGTTTCTTAAATCTTCTTCCCCTTCTTCAGCAACTCAAGGAAGTGAAGAAATTAAAAAAAAAAAAAAATAGAAAAATGCACCAACAAGAATAAACAGAAGAAAGAAAAGTGAACAACCAACCTAATGTCAGAATCGACGTTGAGGTCACAGCACAAAACGCTAGCAAATATCTTAAGAACATTCTGCTTGATGGAGTCGAGTGCTTGATTCAAAAATCGGAGGATAATTAAATCGGACGAAGCAAATAATGGTTCTCCGCCGGCAATCGACAGCTGCAATTACAAGTTACAGTTGTACCAGACAAATTGAAGAAACATCAACATGCAATGAGCAGTAAGGCCAAAAAGAAATGACTTACAGCCATTGGAAATGCGGTATCTATGTATCGAAAAGTAAATATCAACTGCTCAAATGGACAGAAACACGTTTCTGTGAGACGCACGGGAAATCCACTTCCACCCCAAATTACTTGGGGCCAAAGCTGCAATACCTCTTTTCCTATTCCGTAGTGCAATAAGGTACAACTATCAGCTGTTTTCCATGTAAGGAAAACCAGTACTGCAAACGGAGCAGAAGAGGAGAAAATCAGAGTAATGAAACAACGGCGAAACGGCAGCAAACACAGATGAGAGGGACATTACCTTTGAACGACAAGGATTGTGCCTGATACAAAAAAGAAAACTTCGCCGAGATCAAAGAGATGCTCGAGTTAAGAAAAGAAACCGGAGAGAGAGAGAAGAAAACGAGAACGGAGAGCTGTGGGAGACCAGGTGCGATGGTCGGAGACCTGAGATTTAGAGATGATTCAAATGAGACCCGAGAGTCTGAACTCTGTTGAAATTATTTGGGCCAAGCTGAAATTCTTAAATAATTGGGCTAATAGTGGGCCGAAACAATTTGATAAAACTAAATCTATTAGGCTAAAATTCTTTCTTCATCCAAGTTAGAATTCCTCAGTAGCCAAAACAGAGCATATCGAAAATGAAATAAATCCCAAGGTGTGGATAAAAATTATTTATAACTGTAATTATTGGAGAATTTTAACCATAATTTATAATTGGGAGGTCATGAATTACGGTAAAAGTCTTACACCTAATTAGTTTTACTTTTAATATTATTATACACTACTTACACATATGGGTTTAATTAATAGATAAATTTTTTGCTTTCTGGATTTTGGATATTCATTTAAAATTTTATAATACGGTTTGATATTTAAATTACTTAATTAATTAGTTTATATTCAACTACTTCAAAACATTGTTTGAAACAGCAACCATTTCAAGGCATTAGAAAAAGGACTATGAGGAGAAGACATGGTATCACCCATTTGATGAAGTGAATGGGAATGAAATTATTAAAAAAAAAAAAAAAAAAAAAAAAAAGAATAGGACATAGTAGGAATCGGGTTCGAAGCATCTACTCTTATACAAAAATATTGTGTCGTCTAATTCAGACGTTATTTACCAATCACACAATTTCAACAATTACTTCTCCCTTCTACCGAAGATGAGACTATCGCATTGTCTAGAAAGCTAAAAAGGAGCAAAATATGCTTCCCCTTTGGAAGAAATGAATAGTAAATTCCCCAGTGATGTTAAAAAACAATAGCATATGAAATTTACAGCAGAACAACTACAGGGCAGATGTAGGACCATGCAGCTTAAGCTTATATTCTAGTGGATCAAATTTACAAGTGAATAAGTTACAAATATGCTTCACAATGAATATGAACCTCTATATTTGAAAATATAATGGAGAGTTTAAGGGCTCAGCACACCTTTGACGATAAAGAACATACTACATGGGTGCCATACACCATTTGAGCGATAAATTCTTAAATACTATCCTCCCTCCATTCAACTTATTCGAAAAGGAATATGATGTGTAGCATGTAAGTGAGAAGAGAGAGCATTTAAATTTTGGTCCTTAAACCATACGCAAATAGAAGGATGAAGAAGAAGATAAAATATACATCAATTGGAGATGACCTTTATGCACGATTCAAAAAGAAGGGAGCAGTTAATGATGGTAATTTTGTCCCTTCAAAATAGTCCACGACCTGAAAATCAAATATAAGAGAATTGTTTGTTGCTACTTTTTAATTGATAACATAAGAGCAGAAATCTAAGAAGTTCTGAAGCAAACAAGAGAGGAGGAAAAGCAACATCCAAAGAAGAAAACCCACGTCAAATGTACTCAGAAGAACACCACCATAACAAAATCCATAAAAACAAGCAACAACTGATAAGTCTCATCACCACAATACCATAAAATGTAACTGATATAACATCTTCACCTAAAACTGCATGATCCATATAAAGATCCTAAAAGACTCTAACCATGAATTTTCAACTAATTGTTTCACAAATTTTTAGTCAAGATATGAAAAGTAACAGCTTTAGAGCAAACATAAGGGCATTTCACTTTGCTTCTTAGGTGCTTATAACAAGCTTTAAGCACTTTTGTTATATTATCTATTTGGTAGTGTAACAAAGATATTATTTATTATGTGCTAAAAAACAGTTCTCCTGACAATCATTTGCTTAAAGTGATTATTTCTTATTGTGCATTTAGCTATAGTTTGTTGCTAAAATGTAGTAAGTAATTTTTTTTTTTTCACTTAATGCCTTCCTCAAAATATGTAGTTCTCATTATTCAAATAAACATCTACGTGTCTTAAGTTTCCTATACAATCTAATCAAACTCTTTTAATAATCTCAAACACCCAAGTGATTTAAAATTCCGAACAAGTAAAGAAGGGCAAAGCCACAGAATATCAAGAGCATAATGTAGATGGACAAACAAGCACTCAACTGACAGCCCAAGAGTTCAAATTCTCCCAAAATTTGAGAAAACATAGACCTCTGGTCAAAATAATCTTTATAAGACAGAAAGCTCCAACAGCATATTCATCTTGCACTGGCTCAAAAAGAGGACAAATCAATCTTCCTCTGTTTCATCATCCAAAGTAACTGTCGATATTGTAATTTCGAAGTTTCCATCATATACTATAGATTTAACATCCTTATTATTGATCCTCAAATAAACAGACATGCTATATATATCTTCCTAAGACATAAAACTTCGCCAAGAAACTAAGAAACCTAGTATTTTAAAATCACAGCCAAACAATGTCTTATGCTAATTAAAGCCCCATAAAAAGAGAATCCATTATTAGGAAATGCATACTAAATACTCACCTATATAGTTGTTCCATTAGCACAAGCAACGCAATCTGATGATTTAATACCATAGAGGATAACCTGATTGACATGTTAGCCCGCTTCCTTATGCGTTGTCCGTGACCATAAGGTCCACCAATGCAAAATAATAACCTTGAAGCTCCCTAAGAAAAATAAAATAAAATTAGCAAGATGTTATGCAAAAGGAATAATCTTAAACACCATCTTTAAGTATAAGCAAGGTCATACAGTATTCCCTGCATCCCCCACCAATTCAGCCATCTGCTCTGATCCAATCTCTATTCCGTCCTCATCCAGCATCACAACCTACATCAACATCAGAAATTACAGAATAAATGAAAGTTGTTCCCATGGCTAGAGGTATAAAGATAATCTACCAAAGGATGCAAACTTAAAAAGACATAGACTGTTCCTTTCTTCCACCCAATTCTATTGCTTTTCTAAACCATACACACAATTTCTAAACCTAATTGTGTTAGGAACCATACCCAATCATCAGAACTGATAAGGTTCATTACTGACATGTCTTCATCATCAACCTGAGCCCTTGCATCACTACAGTGCAATATCTCCAGAATCAACCCATAATTACAACATAAAACATTTATCCTACAGAGACAAACATTTTAACTAAAAAAAGTTGCAATAAATAATATTTATAGTTCATCTTCTTTGACTAAGAACATCTTGCTTCAATTGTGATATACATACATATAAATAAAGAAAACCACCCTTGAAATGGTATCAAATCATCCATCAAACATCTTGAAAATGAGAAACAAAGCATAGGTTAGTAATAACAATATTTACCGAGCATTTTTAGGATTAGACCGAACTTGAATGTCGTCAACATTGCAATAATACTTTAGCTTCCCTATGTACTCATCTGCTAAGAGTTGAACCCCAAGGGACCTCTTTTTTCCTACTGTTAAGATGCGTATGGGTAGTGCTCTCTGTCCACTTAAACAATTACTATTAGCACATAAATGGCAGACATTACCAGCATTATTTTGTATTCAAAACCCAATCAAAGGTTAACAATGAAAGGAGATTGTTTACCACTGATTGACCGGCATATTTGCATCTTTTACCTGAAAATTGAAATAACACAGCAATTAATTTGCAGAGAAGATTAAAAATTCTAAATTGGAGATGTTAAAATGAAGAGTATGAAAGGATTTATATGACTACTTTGAGAAGTTGAAGAACCAGGAGAATTGTGGTTCTTCTTTGGAGAAAGACTGGCACAGAGAGCGATAACCATGATTCTGGTCTCCATTGACGCTACTTTGAAAGTGAGAGGATGACATCATCAGCCCCACATAATGGCAGTTGAAACACATGAGTCTTCTGCTTTGAGAACATTACCATTTTATCAATCAATCTTCACTAGTACTGCTTAAAACAAAATCAAGCTCCGAACCAGAACTGATAACTTGAAAGAAAACAAAATCAACTTTCATCAACAATCAGCAAACAAATTTTAAGGAGTGATAAGCAGGAATCGCCCAACAAAATTAATTTTAGTCCATTATTACCATCAATGTGCTGCTACAAATGTTAAAATATTGATTCTAAGTGGGCCACTTAGATTTTAATAACCTACCATCAACAAAATGTCTGGCATCAAATGATATCAGCAGAACTCAACTATTAAGAGATACAACTCAGTTGGAGCAAGCTAAGGGCCTCATCACATAAACTTTCAATTTAATCTAACTTATTCAGATTTCATAGCTTTATTAATTATCTAATAACCAGATCTGGAAATAATTTAGGCACACGAGTCAATAATTTAAAATTTAGCTACATCTAATACAATCTCAAGAAAAAATTCCAACTATGCTAGATAGACTATCAGTAACAAGAGACTGAACCATAGAATGATGCTGACACAGGATTTCTAAGAATAAATAAGTTAAATAAAAGAGAAACATATAGCACTTTTACAGCGGCTACTCCTTGATTTACCATCAGATCACTTTTAGATGAAATACAGAATTTCAACCACAAATAAGACCAAATTGTAGCAAAGATCATGTATAGAGCTACAGATCTTCTCCTCTATGAAGACAAGTGAACATATTGAAATGTAAATGTAAATGAAAATGCTTAAGATACAAGCTCATTTAAAAGTAGACTAATCAAAACCACGACCTGTAGATTATCCAACTGCCAAACCATAAACCCAAATGTAAGGAACCATTCAACAAACTATCACATGAAATGAGGAAAATGAGAGAAAGAAAATTTAAGATACAATGCGTTCTTTATTTTCAAATCAGAGAGACAGATGAATGCTATGCAAAGTTCCTAACACAATCAAGTATAAATATGTTATAAACACAACAGATGGCTCATTTCATCAAGAACCTGCACATATTTACATTCATGGGGGAACCAGAGATGAACAGCAAGTCACGAGTTTATTTGTTGCGTAAGGGAGAGTAGATTAAGAAGGATTTGATAATAATGCAAACTTTAAAAGTGTTAAATGTGAATAAAGAAGGAATCAATTAAATCCTTACTACCTCTCTCAGCAGTCATTATCCAATCTAAAATTAGGATTAGGTAAGGATTCATCTAACATTACACTTTTACAAAGATATCTAATTATTTATCTTTATTTGTAATTCGTAATGCGTTCTTAGCATGAAAGACTATCATATTTCACAAATTTTTTTCTCACCTTTACCCCTTTAACAAACAAGATGGGGCTGAAACTTTGATTTCCATGTGATGACTGAAAAATATTATATAATCCGTACTTATTACACATCAATTAATTAATCAAATTCTGCTTGCTTTAGACTTTAAAACTCAATTAAGAAGTCGCATTAATTAATGAATTCGTAATTCATAATTGCTAGTTTACTCTACTTTTCTTTAATCTATTTTTTCTTAAAGCTTTTTTCGAAACAAATTATTTTTGAATCATAAATTTTGTTCACCCAGGAGAGGACGATAATCGACCTTCAACATAATCTAAGCAAATTATTCTTTTAGTTTCGCTTTGAAAAACAAGTTCACCTTCCATCCTCTTGCAGTAGAATTTTACTTCACTTCCTTCAAATAGAAGTTGAACTTCCGTACACAGTGAAGGAAACGAAACAAAAATGTACTATCAACAACCTAATAAGTAAAATCAACGATTCTAATCACCCTAAAATGTCATCCGAACAACTATGAAGCTTCACCAAAAATCTATACAGAATGAAACAAGACAAGCATCGGATTTACCCGTTGAAGGGAATTGCAAAAACTTGCTGATTCAGGAAAAATAACGTTAGCTGCTTAAAGGAGCCAGCGACGGTGGAATACGCTCCTGGGCAGTGAAAGCCGTTGGATGCGTGAATATTCAAAGGGAAAGAATATGGATTTTGACGTTGGAGCTGGTAGCAATTCTGAAGGGTTCAGACTGGGAAAAATAGCTGAAAACCACAGAGATTGCTTGCTCGACTGGAATGGCGACCTGCAACTGGCTTGTAATAGGAGAAAGGGAAGAAGCTACTGGTGGTGAAGGAGAAAGGAAAAGCAAAATTCTACTGGTACGGAAGAACTCCCAACTCAGTTTCTGTAGAGTTCAATTTTAACTTTTTGGGTTAAATGGCTGAATGGTAAAAGTTGAAACTAAACTCTCTCTAACGTGAATGGTAATTATTTTTCAACTATTTATATGATTTTTTTTTTACAAAATTAAGTTTAAAAAACATAATTATAAGTTTAAATAAAAATATTGTTTTAACTAATAAATATACATTTAATTTACATTTTCATTCAATTTTGCATTTCAGTGAGTATAATTAGTGAATTTTTTTTTAATATATAAATAAAAATTAATTAAAAAAAAGTTTTTCACCCACTTATATTTTCTTCCATTTTAGCCGTCCGCCACCAAAGGTTTAACCGCCCTAGCGACCATCTCTGCTTTCGCACAACCCTCTCATCAGTGACCTAGCCTCTCTCGTCTCTCGCAAATTTCCAGGTATCTCAGAACACTCTTCCTTCATCTCCGTTGGCCACTGGAAGGTCCTGTCTTCTGTCCAAGCCTTTGATAGATCTCTTCTCCTATCTTCTCCGGCGGTTCACGTGCTTCGACCGCCTGCAAGCAACGATACTCTCACAGGATTTCGCTTCTCCGGTCGTCGGACATCCGTTCATAAAGGTAATAAACCGCTTCTCCTCACTCTCATTTGATTCTAGATAAAAAAAATATATAAACAAATCTGATTGTCATTTTACGTGTATTGAAGGATTTGATCTTTATTTTAGACTATGTTGGGAATGTTGATTTCTAGGTCACTTTTGAGGATTAGGTTATCATCGTGTTTGATATTGTTGTTACTTGTTTGATGCTTTTCGCTGTTCTGTTTTCATGTCTTCTATTTCCATGTTTCTTTTCTATGTGCGAATTAAATATTAAAATATGATTAAATATTTGAGATTCGTGCTGGCTTGCCTTGTGGATAAGCTTTTTTTTACTCTATAATGTTGTGTGTAGGTTTAATGACCACGAACGTGTAGTTTAGTTGGAAATGAATCCTTTGTTAGTAGTATATACACCACCCTTTGGTATTTGTGAGTTCACCTCATTGCCGGTGAAGTGCTTGAATGTATGCACTACTTTCTTCGGGTGGCTTCTTTTTGAGGTATTACCGTGAATTGCTTACTCGTTTTCTGTTCAGGGGTTCATTTAGTTTGGGTGTTAAGTGTATTATTTTCTTTTGGTGTTACAATCTTTATTTCTTTTAATAGTTTCTTTCCCTAATAATCTGGAAATTTTCTTGTTTGTGTGTTAAGATTGTGTGTGTGAAACGTAGTGTTCTGCTGCTGCTGCCCTGCTGCTTCTGCATTCAGCTCATATAAGCTGGATAACTGGATGGATTACTCCTCTTTTGTTGGATGGAAATAATAAGATACTAATCTGGTTTAAGGATTTATGCATGAAAATCTAGGCCGTATTTTAAGAACCCTGATTTCCCTCTCCCCCCTCCCGCCTCCGTGCGAGCTTAGTAGCCTTAAAATGGGGTTTTAAAGCCAGCCTCTATTGCATTCCTATATCTTCCACTGGGTTATTTTAGTTAATATCTGCACCTTCATTTCATATTTGTTGACAGAATTTTCTTGTTTCACCATTTGTTTCTCCTTTTCTCTTTTCATAGTCCTGGATATTGAAATTTAATACCAATAGTATATACCATGCTCGCATTGTGTTTCTAGTATTTATCTCCTATACTTAAGGAAGAGCCTTTTCTTCCCTAGTATACTTATTATTAAAAAATGTTGCTTTTGGGGTTCCTCACCTATTTTTTCTTGATTATGTGTTCCTAAAATTAGAGACCATCAGATGAGAGTCTGTTAGCCGATTGATTGGCCTGATTCTAAATATTGTGAGAACACATTATTTGCAGTTATGTTTCAAGAGACATTTCTTATGGAGCTATCAAATTTTGAGTCATTGCTTTGAAATTTGTACACTTCATCTTGAGCATTGCTTCATTGTATAAATATTTGGATGCAATTGAATTCTGAGGTCATTCCTACTTGGATCCACTATTCTTTATAGCACGTGCTAGATATGATTGATGGAGGTTTCATCTGTTGATGATCATTGGCTATAGTAAAAATATGGTCGCCTCTTTTGTAGAGACATGGATGATACGATTATTTATATCTCTCTTTTTCTCTCTATCTCTCTCTCTATCCATATATATATATATATATATATATATTCTCATTGATTTTAGTCTCAGTTTCAGTCAATTTTTAATTCCAGTTTAGTTTTGCAAGATGCTTGTTTTAATGGAATATTATCTATATGTGAATTTCTTCTGCCTTTTTACTTCAAGTTCCTTCTATATGTGTACATCAAATTCTGAAAGATTCCTACTTTGTGGCTCTAGGAGCTTTCAGGTATGCTGGAAAGTGAAGCAAACCCGAATTTCAGCAAGTCAACTGGCTTGCCTCGGAAGCGTTTCTACCGAGCACGAGCACATAGCAACCCTCTAAGTGATTCCCACTTCCCAGTTCCACTCTCCCCAAGTCATGTTGATTATTCCCTTCATTTTCCTCAAATATTTCCTTCATCTGAACTGGCTGAGAAATCTAAGAAGGTTGAGTTTGCAGATGTTGGTTGTGGTTTTGGAGGGCTTCTAATTAGCCTTTCAACGCTTTTCCCTGAAACACTAATGATTGGAATGGAGCTAAGGGATAAAGTGACGGAATATGTCAAGGAACGAATTTTAGCATTAAGGGTAACACACCCTGGTCAGTACCAAAATGTCTCAGTCGTTAGGACCAATTCCATGAAATACATTCCAAACTACTTTGAGAAGGGACAGCTTTCAAAGATGTTTTTCCTGTTCCCAGATCCTCATTTCAAAGAGAAGAACCATAGGCGTAGAGTGATTAGTCAGCACTTGTTAGATGAGTATGCTTATGTTCTTAGAGTTGGCGGGATTATATACACAATTACAGATGTAGAAGAACTTGGAGATTGGATGAAGGCTCGTCTGGAAGGCCACCCCATGTTTGAGGCCCTGACAGAGGAAGAGCTTGAAGCAGATCCAATCACAAAGCTCTTGAGTTCTGCAACCGAAGAAGGGCAAAAGGTTGCAAGGAATGGAGGACAGACCTTTCGAGCCGTTTATAGACGTATTGTGCCGGCTTTATAGTACTAATTTAAGGACTTGGTACTTCAGCCTTACTGAATGTATGGATGAGTAGCTGAGTAAAGTAATGGATTTTTAGATGGCTTCTCAGAATTCTACTACCAATTACAGTATTATGCACTTCAGCCAAAAAAAAAAAAAAAGTTGAATTTTGCAGGTCGTTTGAGCATTTGATTTGTTACAATATCAGGCATTGCTTTTACTGTAATATTATTTTTCACAAAGTTAGGAGTATAAATGCATTTCAGAGCATGTGCTCTTTTGTTTTGTGAAATTGACAGTGTTCATTTGGGTGCTCTACCTAACTATCTTCCCCTAATTCTAAAATCCATTCTTGAATTTTAAAGTCAGTAAACCTGGAGTAAGTAAATAACTACTAGCCAAGAACTCTGAGTTCTGTTCTAGGTAGTCAACAATGGGGTTAAGGAATATAAGAGAAATTAAATAAAACTTTAATGTTGAAAATTACTAAGAAATTAAATGTGAATTTCTTACATTATCTCATTAATTTACAATATAATTTGATACGTTACATAACAAGTAACTTTTATCAACATATTATGACTCCTAAAGTATAAATAATTTATTTCATGCAAATATGTTTCTTATACCTGCTGTTCCTAAAAACATAGCCCAGAGTATTGATTTTATCAAATTCATTTGACCAAACCTTTGTCTTATCATATACAACTGCAAAATATCAAATCCCCTTGCAATCCAAGAAAATTTAGCCACTAGTACATACTCAAATGAAGACTAATACACACACATATATATATACACACATATATATATATGGGTGTGCGAAAACTCATTCTATAAATCACATGATAACATTCTTGCAAGCTTTTGTTATAAAGTGTTATCGCATATTTACTAAGAATAATAAACCATTAACTACTAAATTATATGCAATCTAAATTACACCAATAACTAATAAAGTTAAAAGAGTATAAATGAAATTACATAACCTTTTGCATCATCGTATGATTAATCACACATAAGCTAATTATAACCGAACTAAATCCCGTATTATTGATATAATTAGATTTTTTATTGAACATATAAAATTTCATGTAATAATTTAATTTAAAAACTTATTACGGTACTAAATACCTATATAAATTATTACAATATCTATAATGATATTATTTAATAAAAATAAATACTTATTTTGTGTATAATAATAACTTAATCATATTATTATTTTTCATTAGAACTATTTATAAGTCCGTGTCTAAAGTTAATTTATTTTATCATTACCGCAATTATGAATTTTATTTATTATTTTTAATTAAAAAAATACGTGAAATTTTTTATCATTAAATTTTTAACGTCACCCGTGACGTCCCCAAACCCCACCTAATTACATCACGAAACCAGCTTTTAGGTTTCTGTTTTGCTCGTACCAAACCTGCTACGTTTCAAACGAGTAAAAACAGCAAAAGTCCCGCACTTTAAACTTACTTCCCTTTTCAGTAAAATCCCAGATTTTTTTACCTTTTTCCTTTTTTGGTAAAATCCCAGCTCTTTACTTCTTTCCTTTTTTGGTAAACTCTATATTTAAGAACAGAGAAGTATGTAATTCTGATTTTCCAAATTTATGGAAATACCAGATTTTGATTCAGCAGCTATCCATGTTTTCATTTATATAGAGATTTAAATTTCGATTTTTGTCTAACTTGATCCATATATATATATATATATATATGTATTGTACTGTAATAAAAGAAGATACTAATTTCTGTTTTTTTTTTTTCCTTCTTTAATTAATAATTGCATGTTCACAATAGGAAAATAACTACGTAATTTTGTCGTGCATGAAAATATGGGATGTACATAAATGCAATATAACTTTTTTGAAAAATCTATATATATATGGATGGTTATAATTAAGTTTATATATATATAATATATATGTAATTTCTTTTGGGTAATCTATGTATATGGATGGTCAAAAAAACTCTTTCAATTCCTCTTATGTTGTCTCTTAGTTGAGAAGAGCAGAAAAGCACACATTTCCCAAGCCAGTTTCCTATCACAAAACAAATCATCATGATCACCACATATATATATATATATATATATATATACACCCATATATGCGTATTTTATGTTTCAGCGGTGCATGCTACGAGTGTTTATATAAGCCATGCACGCAGCCTATGAAGAATCCAAGGGCGTATCGTTTTCATTCAAGTTCTTTTCCTTTTGATATTGATAATGACCGACTTTTAATTGTACACCACGAATATATAATTTTTATTCTGAGGATTTGCCTATATATAATACATATATATATATATATATATATACATATAGTTATGTATTTGTATATGATTTTGAAAGTTAAAAAGTTTTCTTCACGAAGTTGTTAGAAGTTGAATTCAGCACAGGTTATATAATATTATATATAAAGGTATGTAAGCATATACGGCCTTATATGCGTCCAAATAGTTTATATTATTTATTTTATAATTATTACTTTTGTATTATTATGATTTATTATAGTATATGAAGACTTTTTATATTGACTACAAAATATAGATATAGATTTATATGCTGATATAAAATGTTCATATGTTGTCATATATGTACATTTTGATTACTTAACATATATCCATATATATATGTCAATGACAATTTTATGATTTTAATATTTCTATTGACTCATTTTAGATATTAATGTTAATTACATACATACAAATAATTTATTTTTTTTTTGTATTGATAACTTAAAGTTTGGTCAAATACGTATATTTACAACTTAAAAAATAGAAAAAAGTTATTGCAACGTATGATTTGTAAAAAAAATGAACAAAATAAAATATAAAATTTGTATGGAATATATTAATTTAATTGAAAATCTTGAAACTTAACTAGTATAAGTATATACACACACACACACACACACACACACACACACACACACACACACACACACACACACACACACACACACACACACACACACACACACACACACACACACACACACACACACACACACACACACACACACACACACACACACACACACACACACACATATACACACACACAAGGAAAATATAGACTAACTGAGGTAACATACATATATAGAAATATTGAGATCGAAATATATAAAAGATATAATACCTATGAAATAGTTAGGGTTCTACATATGCATATTTATATGAAAAATTAAAAAATTAAATTAATCAAGTTTATTTTTAATCAAATTATCAAAAAGTCAAATCTTTGACTGGATTAATCAATTAACCCAAGTACAAACAAATGATCCTAAACTTATCCACATATATATATATATAGATATAGATATATATAATCAATTATTAAATACAAACCCAAGCTTAAGATAAAGTAAACAAAAACAAGACCCAAAAAAAAAAAAAAACCCAGAAAAAAATAGCAATAACCCAAAATTGCATATAATTAATTACAACTATAGGTTATTATATTTTTATTTTGATATATATTGTTGAAAAATTGATACCATATAGTTTTATTAAAATATTTTTAGAATTAAATATGGGTATTAGGGGTCATGCTGAACATTTGAATAATTTGATAAAGAATGGAATCTAGGATGTTAGATTTTACAAAACTCACAATTATATATAATAATATAATATATAGTCACAAGTTGACTTTAAGTACTGACATTGAGTCAACATAAATATTAAATGAATGAAAAAATTATTAATTGCAAGAATTTATCGTAATTATCATTAAATATCTTTTACTTACGTATATCCTGTACGATTTATATATTAATTATTATAAATTTATATATATATTCTCAATATGAGTTTAAATAATACTAATTACAATATGTATATTATAATATAATATAAAGTAGTGTAACGATGGAAGACCAGGCTTATAACGTCAATATCCCAACTGCTTGTGATACAATTGTTATTCACCGGACGAAAATATTATTTATAATATAATATATATATAGATTAATAACTATAAATTTGGAAATATATTTTATGATAAATAAATAAATGTATCATCTAAATTAAAAAAATAATAATAATTATTGATGTTACTTATCAAGATAACACTAATGTCCAACTTTATATTAGAAAATTTTTTCAAATCAAATCAAATCTAAAAATTTAAATATGAAATCTCGTACTGAATCAATGAAAAAAAATAAATAAAAGAGTACATAGATTCACTGTAAAAAATTTGATTGCGTTCTGCGGTAGATACTTGTGAATTAACACACCATTTCAAAAGTTATTTTTCTTACTTAAATTTTTACTTTATTTTTAATTAAATTATGTATATATATTCATTTTAATTCACATGTTATTCCTATACATTTTTTAAGTTAATAGATTTCTTATATAAATTAGTAATATTTTATCATAAATTTATCACAACAAATTTAGTAATATTTAAAATTTTCTCTTTACAGCATGATTGATAATTTTTTATCGTGAATATTTGATTCTAAAATCTATATAGATGCAGGAGATAAAATAAACGAAGAAACTAGTGTGCTAATGCAAAATCATAGCAAGACAATTGTAACGATCCCGAAAATTCTAAAGGAAATAAATTATGAATTTAGTGCGGAAACGAAATAAATAGTTAAAGTTTAAATTTTTTACACAAAAACTTAAAAATTCTAAATAATGCTATGGGAGTTACCTTTTGAAGGAAATACAAAGAAAATAAGGAAACAAATGAAAAATAAATAAAACAGGTATCCTACTCGCAACCCTCTTGTGGATCGGGTTCTGAATCCTAATCCTCTTGATATGAAATGATTAAATAAGAGATGAGCTACACTAACCCAGTAAGAATATCACACTACTCACCGACATAGAAATAAAGGTTGGTAGAAAAATCAAAACAACTAATGGAGCTCTTAATTAAACAAATTTATTTATCATAAATAAAATCTTTTACCATCTATTTACCGTAGTAAGATTTACAAAACAACTTATAAAGATAATAACATA